TATATGTATGTTAATGATTAGGCTAAATTATACTGTGGAAACAAATATATATATAAATTCTTAATGAATTACCATAGTAAGATGTATCTCTCATTCATACTAGGTATGATGAAGGTGGTAAAGGTGTCCCAAGAGGCTCATTTCCAAGTAGAATTGAAGCCTTCCTTCTTGAAGCTCTATAGTATTGGAATCTCTAGTAAGCCTGTTGATAGGAAAGGGAGAAGATGAACCCCACATCTTGCTTGGGATTTTACAGGTCATGTCAGAGTTTCATTAGTCACATATCATAATCCAGCTGCATATATTCTTGAGAAAATGTGTTTACTGATATTGTAGTTAGGGTCTACCATTATCTTATCCTGTTAAATATGTAGACCATGTATTTATATATAATAATAAATAAGATTCCTTATATATATCTTACATATATATTTATCACCTTTTATGTAAATATGTATATGAATACAGTATCATTTCCTACATTGAGAACCTTCACCTTCCTTGAGAAGTACCAATCTCAAGGTAAACCAGTCACTATACCTAACAGATGTCCCTTCTATAAACTTACAGTGGTAGAAATAGGATTACTACAGTAATTTCTTTCTTTCTCAATAGGAATAATGAGAGACATAGTTTCTTCTCTAATTTCATCTTTCTTTTTTTTTTGTTTTGTTTTGGTACTGGGGATTGAACTCGAGGCACTCAACCACTAAGCCACATCCCCAGCATTATTTTGTATTTTTTATTTAGAGACAGGTTCTCACTGGGTTTCTAAGGGTGCCACCATGCCTGGCCGTTTCTTGTATTCTGCCAATGCTCTGAGCCTTGTAATAATGTATGTAAATGCTCTGACTACTTACATGTCTCTGTCCTAAAGTTTTAGATTATTACCTGACCACAGGTAATAATTATACCAAATGTTTTCCACTGTATAATATGAATAAACATCATTCCATTTTCCAGTGTCACTTTCGTCCCATTCTACTTCTTGACTGCTAAGCTAATGCCATACAGTTGTGGAATATCAAGCTCTCATTTCCCTGTATCACTGAAGGTAGGCTGTTCTACCCTGTGATGAAAAATAAACCACATTTAGGAGAAACTGGAAGATCAGAAGATGGTTTTTGCAGAATACCATGACCCAGAATATCAAATTGTTTCATTTTATGTTTCTGCCATCTCAAAACCATTGCCTACAAAGTCACCAAAAAAGAAACAGAGAAATAAGAGCAGAAGGAGGAAGAGGAATAGGAGGAAGTGAAGAAAGGAAGCCCAGAATCTTATGGGAGATTTCAGGCACCATCTTGGGAGTGTTCTGTATTGATTTTTTTCTACATGTCATTGGGCCCCATTCTATCTTCAGGACAATCCTATGTACTCAGGAAGGGGAAACAAAATTGGTGAGCTTTTAGCTAGTCACCCCCACACCCAGCTCTCACTGTTTATATTTTATATTTTCCTAGTATATATTTTACAGTCTTTCACACTCATACTTTCTGAGTCCTTATATTTTAGATATTTATTTTGTAAATATTACATTATTTAACTTATTTTTTTTAAATCTGATCTGATAACCTCTGTCACTTTAACTAGGAAACTTAGTCTGTTCATTTTTAATATGATTATTTTCTTGATATATTTCATCTATATTCTTTGTTTCATTTTTTTAGTCTGCTTAAAGATTGATCAATTTGCCTTTATTTTTTTCTAGTGTTCCATTGATTGAAAAGTTATATATTCTTTTTCTATTTTTAGTGATATCTCTATGCTCTCACTGAAATTATTTCCTCATACACCCTAGTCAAAATATATGTCTTAAACTTATCACTATCCAGTATTTTCGCTTCTTATTTTAAAACTCACAAATTAGCAAATATTATTTCTTCCATTTTGCAATAAATTTATCAATTTTCTCTCTTTTACTTTTCTCAGTATTCCTTCTTGCATCTTAATGTTTCCTTCTATTACCAAATTTCCTCTTCCTGAACTACATTTTCTAGAGGTTTTTCCCTTAATGGCCTCTTGCTTTCTGTTTTATGAATGCATATGTCTTTATATCTCAGTCTCTTTATTAAATGACATTTTACTTGCATATTAAAGGTATAATAATTAGCTATATAAAGAACAAATGAACAAAGTAATGGTTTGATCCAGAAAAGTCTAGATAAAGTTTTTAAGTGTCTCTTTCCTTAAGTGTTTTAAAGTCTAATGTACTTCAGAATCTATCTGATTAAAACAATGGAATTGCTCTTGAATTTTCCTTGGGTAAACATATTCTATCTAGAATGTCAAACAAAGTGGAAGGTTAGAGTTGGATTTATACTTTTTTAATTTTTTTACTGCTATTTAAAAATATTCAAATACAAGTGAATCTCAATTATGACAAGTATTCTTTAAATCTTGCCATATATTTGTTTTGTTTTGTTTTGGTAGTTCCAGAGATTGAACCCAGGGCCTCACACATGCTGGACAGGTGCTCTGTCACTGAACTACATCCCCACCACAGATACACGCATGCACACATACACACCCTTTTTTAAAATTTTATTTTGAGACAGGGTCTTAAAGTTGCCCACGCTAGCCTTGTGCTTGCAATCCTTCAGCCTCAGGCTCCCAAGTCACTGGGATTATAGGCATGTACCACCACACCTAGCCTCCATCAGATTCTTAATAAAGTTAAGTTACAGTTTCCCTTGACATGTCTTTCAAACGTGAAGTTGACATTCAGAGGAAAACTAAATGACTCCTTAATCTAAGATAAAACTCAAAACTTTCAAGATATATAGTCCAGAAATAGGACTTGAATGTTCTTTTAGAATGTATATGTGTATCTCAGATTATTTTGCTATATTTATATATTAGTTTTTCTAAGTCTATAGACATTCTTATAGTGTGTGTAATTTTTTTTTCATGAGTCCCCAAATTTATTTTCTTCATTATAGAGCTTTCTTATTTAGGAAGCAAGTAACAGTTCAGCAGGCAAGTAACCTAACAAAGCCAATTTGTCAATGTCAGAAGAATTATCCCTCTTCAGAAATGATCAAAGATGTCTAGACTTGAAGGGAAAAAAAATGAGTCAGAATTAAGTTAAGCTCAGACAATCTAAATTTCTTATCAAATTGTTATTTGTTCAATTCTGAAACATTATTTATGAAGCCATCCATTTTTAAGATAAATGCAAGTCAAAGGTTTATTATTTTATGGCACACTGTGGTGTAAAAGAATATAAATTGACTTTGAGCAGACCAGGAGTCTATTAAAGTCAGAAAGAATCTCCAAGTTGATTTCTAAGTATGTGAAAAATGCATGGATTAAGAGAGGGGAAACTCAACACCAAAGAGAATGTGGAATGGTTTATCTAGATGACTTCTTTTCTTTTGTTAACAGCCATTTCAGAATGAAATTATATATAATACTAGTTTACAACTTCAGCATATATATATATATATATATATATATATATATAT